CCCCCCCCCTCCCCCCCCCCCCCCCGGCATTTTATAAAACAGAGTTTCCCTGAGGAGGAGAAACTCATCTTTCTCCTTTAGGATTTCTAGTCACTGGATATGACCTTCCTTCCATCTGAGTTCATTAAAATCTAATCTTCTGAAATCCAATATATAGGTCTGACTCTTCTTTAATCTTCCTTCTCTCAGTCTCATGAACTCAAGAATACTTGGGAGAATTACTTTCTCCCAAGGCTCTGTCACCTTAATTTCTTCAGCCAATTCCTCCCTGTTGATAAGAATTAGGTCCAAGATAGCAGCCCCACCCTGCCCCCGCCATCTCACCACTGTTTCTTCTTCCTCCTACCCACAAATGAAGTTCTCAGCAAGAAGGCAGGAATTTGCTCGGTCTCTGCCTCTTAGAGCTACCTTTGAAGCAGATGTCTGAAAAGTTGACACTCACCCTTTCACTATAACATTCTCACTATTACTGGTCTCTGAAAGTTTAGTCATCTGACACAGTCCTTAATTTTATATGTTGTCTGACCAAGCAGATTTATAATATATACTTTCACAATGATATCACTTTTGTTTTTTGTTTGCTTGTTATTCTTACTTGAATACTATCAACAGAATTTCCACACTATGAATTTCTGTGCAATTATATATGTGTTCTTCAATTTGTACGGCGCAATACTGCCTCACTTTCTGTAGGGTTTGTTCCTTTTGAATAAGTTATATCTTTCCAGGGCTATGTTCTAATAACATGTGCTTTTCCACCAAATTTCAGTAATTTCTATGACTTCATATTTGTCATCTTGTATTAGGATTTAAAATTCACCTGTTTTCTGCACTGACTGAGAAACATCTGAAACTCTGAGTAGTGTTGTAGTTTCCTGCCAATGAGATCTTTGACCCTTTGAAGGACATTAAAATTCTGCAAAGTTTCTGCCAGACAGCACAGCAACCTCCTAATTGTCTAACACCCTACAGAGAGTTGTGCTAAAACAATGCAGAAAGTATAAGAAATATATGTATTATGCGTTATTAGTAACATGTATATACGATATACTATCTCAGTGCCTACTCATGCAAACTGTCTCAAATCTACTCACAAAATAAAGAAAATTTACTCATTCAGGACAAGATTTGGCTATATCATGTCTTCAGTTACTATGTGGTCTCTGATTGGTTAGGAGTGTTCATATTAATAATCCAACTACTTTTCCCCCAAAATAATTTCTATTATATTTTGATTTCTAATCAACCTGGGAAATATGACAGTGTCTAAGAATATTGATCTTACTACAGCATCAAGAAATGTACGTTGTCCTTTATAAATATTACTTCTGCATAAATCATGTAATGTAAGTTCCAAACTTCTGAATTTCTACCGTCTTTCAAATTATGCATGTACCAGTCAATCATTAATAATGACACAGCTCTCAATCCAAAAGAAGTGGACTGGAATCACTTATTATGAAACAAATAAAACCCTTTAGCATATAGGGGTTTTAAATATAGCAAAGACACATATGCAGAGACAGCTGAAAACAACTTATGAAAAAGCCACATAAGCCTGTAAAAAAGAGTCAGCTGTTTTATTGATTTGAAGAAAGATGCTTTGTATGTACTTCCCCACATTGCAAAGGCCCTCTTTTGAAAGATTTGCATGGCTCTAATTATTGGTATTTTACTATTATCATTAGCTTCCCAGTCAGAACTACAGCGTTGATTAGGTCTTTCCATCCTTTTGTATCGTAATTTTCACTGATTTTGCTGTTATGTTCAAAACCATAACTGGAATTATGAATCACTGAGGATGCAAATTGTGTAGCCAAACAAAGCATACATTTGTTAAGAAAACTTTTGTCTTTCAATAACCATAAATTAAACTATGCTTGCTTATAAAATGATGTGATTAGCAATGTAGGAAAAGTGTGCTTTAAATGTTTCATAGTTTTTCTTTAAGAGAAAACTAGTATACTTTAGATCATTGGTTCTCAACGGGGGTGGTACCGCCCCCCAGGGGGTGGTGGGAGGATGCTGAGGGGCGGTGAACTTGTTTTGGGCGGGAGGGGGGCGGGGGGCATGTTTTGGGCCGTAGAGGGGGGGTGAGCATGTTTTGGCATTCGAACTTAATTTTAAAACTCCCCAAAAAATTTATTAAATTGATTATGCAGTTTACACCATTTGTACCAGCAATAAAACAAACTTACGTGACGGCTGCCCTCACACACTTCTAAGAATGATGAGACGAATTTATATTCTAGGTAGGCTGACCTTGAAGAACTCGACACTACAATTCTTCTCCGATCCCAACCAGCACAGCGCGTGCGTCAGCTGTCTTCCCGCGCAATTCCCACACAAATTTGGTGTGTAAGTCTACTGAAAAAAATTACTGAAAATTTTTGCCTTTTATAATTCAGTAACTCTCCCCCCCATAT